CCCCCAACCTCCATCTTTTTTCCTGGCACATGTTCAATTATTAACTCCCGTGATGACGAAGGAGGAAGGAGACAGAAGGTGACACAGAACAAGGAGATGCATTATCAACCATCCAGCTGTGCCTCTGACTGACCTTGTCTGCTCACCTCACGGATGATGTGCCCAACTGATAAATTCAGTGAAAAAGCTGGAAACTTTGCATTTGACTTTCAAAATTATGATTTGCATCAATTCAAGTGGWACTTTTCATTTTTTTGACGTTTCCTGCAAGTTAAAATGTCACATGTGTGAATGTTAGTGCATTGACAATTACAACATTTCGGTATCGCCATTTTAAAAAACCTAATTGTTCCAGTTTTAAAGTGTTATCTTGCTGGAGCAGACCGAAAGAAATCCCTCACCACAGCTCCTGATTGACACCAAGTGACAGTTGTCTCTTGATACGCTGTCATTTGCAGCAGATTAAATCACATAAAGCTTTAATGATCCCCGAGCTGAAAGCAGCTGGGTGGTTAATTTTATATCAGCGACAAGCTCCTCAGGAGTATGATTTCTGCAACTGTAGCACAAACGCATTAGACTCACAAATGAGATCTGATTGAACCAGACGAGATTATTTGCCTAATCAAAATCCTAATTGTTGAGTGAGACGGGAGCAGAGTTGCTGAGTGTGAAGAAGGGAAAGAAAGAGAGACAGAGAGCTGCTTTTCTTTTGTTCTTCATCCCTGACAAGAGCAGCAGGATGTCCCTCAATCAAACTGCAGAAGAACAAGAACATTTATTTTTCATGGGCTGCTCTGTGTGAAATATTATCTGGCAACGCATGGGCGCTGTAAAAATAGACCCCTGTCTCTATTCTGGTGCTTTATCCTGAAGAGATTTGTCTTTGTTTTTTTTTTTTTTCAAGGCTTCATATGAAAGTTTGCCTTTCATTTCATTTCATTTCAGTTGATGTTCTTTGTTTTATTCTATTTAATAAAATGCAACATTATATTTCCACAAAGCCGTGGCCCTTTAAACGTGTTGAACTTTCACGTTTGAAATGCAGCTTTTGTCAGTTTTAGCCTTCAGAGTTCAGAAAGTAGTCTGTGAAGTAAAAATCCCTTTTGTCATTTCCCGAGGGACATGTAACATCTAATTGCTACAAGAGTGTGTTTCTGCAGAGATTAAAGTGTTTGTGTGTTGTTTCCTCTCTGATCCGTCAGACCCATCTGTTCCTGGGCTTCAACATCCAATTTAATGTTTTTTTTTTTCCCCAGACTGGTCACTTTTTGTACATTGYAGGGATGCTGACATTTTGTCGTCAGCTGCTGCTATTTTCTTCCCACACCGCTGTGACCGGATTGCCCACCACCGCACTGAGGGTTACATAGCTAATTATCACTCCTGATTCATTATTTCAATGAATTCCAAGAAACCCTTGAAATTTAACTTGAAAAAGTCACCCCATTTTTTTCCAGTGACCCCTTAAATAAGCAAGCTTATGTGAAGAACATAATTTTATCTGCCTTTTTTCTAAATTTGATTTTGATCTGAAACACTATGTTTTTTTCYATGGAATTTCCCATGGGAAAAATGCACTTGTTGACACTCGTCTTCATCACTAACTTTCTTGATATTTGAGATAATCACATGATTTATTTTGATGGTTTTTGAATTCACTATCAGATTTGATATTGATGTGGGATAAACATTTTATCCTCATCCTTACACATTGTCTTTCAGCCATAGTAAGTTTGATCTTTTGATTAGCAGTCTTACAATATGACTATTACTATTTCCAGAATATCAGTAAACAATYAACAGAATTAAGGAATTTGAGTGCATTAAAGCAAATAATGTGAGCCTGAGCTGAACTTTTGGAGCCAAAGTGATTCAAGATGGCTGCTGCAGCTAATCCACCTGTGCAAACACAAAAAATGGCTATACCATGGTTAGTTTTACAGATATTTAGCAAAATGTTGGCGTGCTAATAGCTGAGAATCACCCACAACACATACTCTGACAGATTGGTCAAGATTTTTGTTCATACCTTTGCATGCAGTTCAGAAGTTTAAATGCATTTCTTCGAGTTTAATTTACCGACAGCTTCCAAAATTACATGAGCAAATGAAGGCTTTGGGTTTTTGTCAAGCACTACAAAAAGACTTCACTTCTTCCTTTAAAAAAAGGTACAAACTTCTAAACGATAAAATCTTCTTGTCTCTGTTTCTTTTCCCAGTTCTTCCTTATTGAGGTCAAAGTTCACCAGACATCATGGCAGATGAAGCAGACATGCGCAACGAACTGGCCGACCTGCAGACACGTGCCGACCAGATTGCAGATGAGGTACAGTAGACACATACAACCACATGGGGGGGATAGATCATTTTAGAATATTTTTGGTACAAAACACGCAATTTTCGGCATTGCACCCAAAACAAACCACTCCGAATAAAATCATAACTCACTGCTGAAGTCAGAACGGGCAGCAGCGGACAAACTGTGAAGCTTTACATGCTCCATGGTGAAAAGGAACATTCCTTTGTGACATGCCAATTATAATGTGACATTTGAAAATGTTCTAGTAAGGACACACAAATGTACCTCTGAAAGCCTCCAGGCTGACAGACAGCTCCTCTGACGTGATCGTTCCCCCCATGTTAGCGGTTAGCTCGGAGAGTCTTATTCTATTTTTTTTTTTCCTTTTTCATGGTCTGCGCTTTATTTATTTTGGATAAGAAAGATCTTTGGCCTTTTTAATGAGCTGAGAGGAGCTCAGGAAGAGCAGATAATTCGGTGCAGCGGAATAATAGAAGAGCTCAAATGGCCTCATTAAACATTCATGAGGAGATAAAGCAAGGCCATGGATGGAGTGAGAGTTATGGAGGCAGAGGYGAGAGATTTTCCCAAATAAGAGGCTGAAAAGGGGATTAGGAAAAATGAGTTGAAGTAAGGGATGACTTTGGAAATAATTCTGTAGAATTAATTAACAAATGGTAGGAGTTATTTAATTCATCATTAACTTGAAAAAAGTGAGAATAATTTTGATTTGTCTGCCTACAAATTCTGTTTACCATAGAAAGGCTCAGAGGTGTGATAGTTCTTACAGATCCTGTCCTTCCTGTCTCTGTGTCCTTCTGGACCTTCAGCTAATGATTTGTTTTCTCTCTCTCTCTCTCTCTCTCTCTCTCTCTCTCTCTCTCTCTCTCTCTCTCTCTCTCTCTCTC